TTTGTTTCCATTTTCCTTAAAACATTGCTCACATGTTCCATCCATGTTATTCTCAGCATTCTTCTATAGAATCAAATGTACTCTTCACCTGTGAAGAAATTGTTCAGCTTTCACTCCCAAAATAATAAAATAATAAATAAAAATGCAATAACAAGATTAACATCTTTTTAAAAGGGGATTAATAAGGGGAAAACAATATGGAATACAATGTGTATATCATTACTCATAGATATTATGAAATGTTTTTTTAAGATAATGCTTGTATTGCTTATAAATTATGTTGATTTCAATCCAAGTAGGGATGTATTTTTATACAAAATGTGGCACTGTTTTAATGTTAAACTTAGCTAGCCACAAACACTAACCCAAATAAACAACAATATTCCTTACACCACAACACAATCTTCAGTATCTCTCTATATTTCTGAGATGAGGTATTATGTACACTATTTATATTATTCGGACTATTGTATCTTTGTTGCCATATTTATCACAATGTTTCGGCCATGGTATGCTCCGGCCTTCTTCAGGTTCAGGTGGTTGAAATGTCGAACTGAATCCTTTATTTTGCTCACTGAGGTAGACTGTTCTAGTTCCACATGCCATGTTTATCTCCTGTTAATTCCCCTCTCCAAATTCTCCACCACCTTAACAACTTTGAGTCCTGTCACTGGATCTAACTAACACCTTTATCCACTGTGCCATGTGTTCTTGAGGACATCTTTGTATGATTTTCTGGATATTATAAACCTAATGTCTTCAGCAATCATTTTTTTACCAGTGCTCATATTGCAATTTCAGCTATTATCATTACATGTTTTTACCAGAGCTCATATTGCAATTTTTGTTGTTATTATTGCTTTTCTCTGGCACTCCTTATTACTGGTTCCCATATTGTATTCATTTCTATGCTTGGTCTGCTCAGGAGATTTTTGTGGCCTAGCATATGTGTTGATTCCTTAAGTTTACAAATTTTCTAATGATGTTCTTTGGCTATGGTCTCAATCTGATCCCACAGAGGGTGGTGATCTCCCTTTTCTCTCCATATGTGGTCAGCCACACCTGATTTTTCCACTTCCCCTCGTGTTACAGCTTTCTGGTGTTCACACACACACACACACACACATATATATATATATATTTTTTTTTTTTTGCTTGCAGTTTGATATGACTCAATCCAATCTGCCTTGTCTAGAAGTTAGAATGCTATGTTCACTTGTCTGAACTTGCTTTTGTGTGTCAATGCCAATTCTTAGTTTGTGAACTTTTTGCCTTGCATATATTGTTTGCTTGTTTGATATTATTTCATTTTTTCCCCCCGTGTCTTATTCTTGCTATTGCAAACTTTGTTAATTCTGTTTGTTGGACTGTTCTGTTATTTATTTTGCATTTGACTATGACTACTCACTCCACAAACTAGGTTAATTATAATTTTCTTAAATTATGTGAAAGTATTGAATACATGGAATATGTTGGGAAAACAGTCTTTTTGATTCTTTTTATTTCTTTATTGCATGTCTTATTGCATCACTTGCCTATATCTAGGACATTTTATTTCATATATAACATTTAAATTCTATTCTATGGACAACATTTGTTACTCTGCATAGGGATTGAACATATGTCCTCCTGGTCATAAAAACTAATGCTTTGTTGGATTAATCTGTCTTCTGCTGCTGATTCAGATAGGTTCAGCCCGAGCAGCTCAATTTAACCTAGTAGTTTTTTTTTTCTAGAGAAGAGGAACTTTCAGTTGCTTGGTGAATTCTTGTCAGAGTAATTCAGGAATGAACAAACTTTTTGTTAACTGGATAATATCCTTAGAAGAATTTAACAACATTGTTTTCATGAGTTACATTATAAACACATGTATGGTAGCCTGAAAGAACAAACAAAAAAGGAAGTATTGCCATTGGGGCAAAAGGAAAAGACAAGAATTGTTCATATAAAATTGTTTGTATTACTGATACAGAGGATGTAAGCTGAATATCTGTAATGTGGGCAAAAGAGGTGGCTTTTGAAAGAAGGGTAGAGTTGGTAAGGACTGGATTTGATGTGTTTGTTAAGTTGGTTGACCAAGTTTACAATGGTGATGCTGGACATTGACAACAGGCCTATTCATTGCAATTCTGTCCAAGTAATTTATGAACTGCTTTCTTAAAAGTAAATGTCCTGGCTCCTGAGCTCCTCTTTTGTTAATGTTTTTTCTTTGGTGCCAACATTTATTGGCTTATTTTATGTTATTTTTATATTTTTGAGGGGGATTTGTTTTGTGCACTGGATGTGATGCTTGCAGCCCTTGCACAGAGGATAACTTTTTTTTTATTTTGGGTTTTGCTTTTTTAGCATTCACATTTGGCTGACATGTAGAGTGAATAAGAGACCTAATTTGAAGTCGTGTATATTTAATAGTAACTGATTTGGTATTAGAGATAATTATAATTTTAATACATTATTAAAAAAAAACATTGTCTTTCTAAGGTTATTTATTTATAACAGCTGCATAATTTTGTATTCTATATCTGTCAATATTTCTGAGATGAAATAATTATTTAGATTATTTACGTTTCAACCATTGTACACTTTGGCCTTCTTCATGTGATTGGAATTTTGAACTGAACTGATTATTTCATCCACTGGAGTAGATTGTTCTAATTCCTCATGCCATGACACTTATGAATCTCAGTATCAGTTATTTCCTTTTTAACTCAACTCTCCAAGTTTTTATTCATCTCTGCAGTAGCCAGGTATTGAACTCACAACTCTTTAGGTTAAGTCACTGGATTTAACCAATGCTTTTATCCACTGTGCCATGTGTCCTTGTATTTTAATCCATTCTGTTATCTTCTTTAGGAAAGTTAATTCAAAAGGAAAGATAAGGGACTCTTTTTTTTTTTTCTTTCTTCATATGCCAAATGGAAAAGGATAGCTAAAATTCTGATTTGGTTCATTCTATTAATGTGAGACACAAATAGCATTCACTGCCACCTATGTCATAGAAATACAACTAATTTATACATTGTAATGTTTCCCAATTCCATCTCTGCTGTACAAAGAAATCCACACCATATTGAAATCTATGCTGAGTTGATTTGCACAAATATTGTTTGATCATAGTAACTTAATTAGATTGTCTGCACAATTATAGCCATAGAAATCATTTTATTTTCTTAACAATGTGGGTAACAGTTCTAATATTTTGTATTTCTTAGCTAGATTACACAGTATCATTTCAGAACTCATTTCATGAGTGATGCGTTACTTTCAGAAAAGTGATGTGTTGCTATATAAAGTGAGTTTCCTAGATTTACAAATCAACAGTTGGTAACAGATGTTTATGACAGAAATGAACACAAGTCAATATACATATTTCTAAAGTTATACTCATTGGCATGTAAACATTTCTTGGATGAGAGCTTTATATTGTGGAGTGAGTAGAATGTTTTTGTTTTGTTGGTTGTTTTCAGTGTAGCATTGAAGTAACCTTTTACTTTCTAATTAATGCACTTCATTATCATACTTGTTTATAGAAGAGATAGTCATGTTCACTCAATTGTAACTTGTATGTTAATGGTGTTTTTATATAAGGATTGGCTTGTTGACTGAAATTAGGAATTTTTGTGTTGAAGTAACAGTGTTTCTTTCAAAATCTATTAAAATACAGAGAATTATACTTTAGATTTTACATTTTTTTCTGGTTAAAAAAAAAGAAAGAGCTATGATCAAAATTAAAGTATTCCTAAAAATTTTATAAAGTTCTGAACACAATTTTATTTTGATATTATTTAATCAAAAACATTTTTAATTGTAGAATTTTATAATCTAAATCAATTGTATCTTTTTTTTTTCTTTCCCATCATTGCTTCAGATGGATGAAAATTCATTTAGCATGTTTTTTTTTTTTTTTTGGTTTGTGAATGAAAGACAAATGACCACTTGAAGAGTTTTGAATTGTGTTATGTTCCTTCAGGACATGGTTGATCATGGCTCTCCAAAACATCCTATGCTTTTGTATCTCTTAGCAATGTTTGTCTTTTTATTATCCCTCCCATTCTGTTAGGCCATCCATTTACACAAGCTTGTTAGGTAGATTACTTATCGTTTCCATCTGTCTCCCTAGTCTTCAGTATGTACTGTATGTCAAATTCTCCACTCCTTTTTTCATTACGTAAAAATTTCAACTGACTTTCTAATTCCAAATATAAGTTCCCTTTTTTTCTTCAATTCTCAAAATCTCTTTTTTGATTTTATGCTATTCTCAGCATCCTTCTGTAGAACCACATCTGTTACCTCAAGTCTCCTCTTCATCTGTAAGGAAATTGTCTCATGTTCACTGTTAGGAGGATTGATATTACTGTTTGAAATTTCTGATATAGAATCAATTGCAAGGTCTACTGTTATGAAAGTTAGTTCACTATATCAATCTAAGCAATTTTTCTCACTTGAATCTATCTTTCATAAGTCTACCATTCATCCATGCCTACCACATCTGGTGCTTCTGCTATGTATTTTAGAGATTATTGATAAAATCCAAATAAGAATCTGCAATGTAGCTTCCATGTGACTTTTCTATAAATATTTGAATGTTTATGGCTAGATGTAACTGTAAGTTCTATGCTAACAGTTTATTCTCTTACACTTCTCGCTTGTGGAACTCTTCTGGTTTTCCAGTAAACTTTGATCTTCAAAAATTTAAGTGAAATTTCGATCATTATCTTCTGTCTTCATTCCTGTTTTTATTGTTCTCTCTACTTCTATATTTCTTTTCTCATATTCTTTCACACTTGGTAAACCCTTGTGTCTTAGTGACTTTATTGTCTTGCTTGGTGCAAAATGATTAAAAAAATATACTTAAGTTTTTTATTTATTTATTGGTTTTATATCATTGACTATTGATGCTTGTTCACTTACTATATAATCATATTATAAGTATATCTAATTAAATATGTTTATTGCTACTACGAAATGTATATCTACATTAATTTTTTTTCTTCTTTCAGAGGGAATTAAAGTTGCAAAATCTACAACAATAGATAATCTTCTAAAAAATGAATTCTGGCTTATAGTAAACAACAGGGAGTACCATGTAACCCCCCCAGAACCAAGTAAGTATTTTCTCTCACCATTTTATTCTTCCACTTTTATATGTGAAGAATTTGGTTGTAAAAGATGAAAAATTAATGCAAACTTGAACTTTTAATTCTATATCATATTGCTTAAAGTACTCAAGATATTTGAATGCAGTTTTTATTTTGTTCTGATAAACTTTTTATAGCAAAGTAATTTTAAAGAAAAATGCACTTAGGAAAAAACAAATTAGCCTTTTTTTTTTTTTTCAATCACCTGATGAGGTACCAAATCAAAGACTTTATAAAATGGCCTGTTTGAATTCTAATGTTAATCTCATCTAATACATCATGCTCTGCTGTGCTATGCTACTAAGAAGTGCAAAATTACAATGATAAATTCCTTTATTTATTTTTCTTATTGATTTTCCATGCACTGAATATTCCAGATGGGAATATGTTAAATTTATCAATCAGAAAATGTGTTTTCTAATAGGTAAAAAGTTAACAAATTTAAGTTCTATTATCATAAACTCCATGTAAATAAGTCTTTATCCAGAAAGAAATACAATGATCTATGAATGACTAAATATTGTATATTCTGTCTTCAGTGGTGTAGCTGGTATTTTTGCCACCCTCCCAGAAGGAATACAATATTACAATGCACATTAAACCCTTAAAGTTTATATATATATATATATATATATATATATATATATATATATAAAGTCAATGATGAAATTATTTGTACACCCATCTATTTTTTTAATATTTCTATCCATTTCTCAGAATCTAATGCCCATAATGATGCCAGGTTTTTTTCTGTGTTTCTGTTAACATGGTATTTATAACTCCTCACTAATAAATTATGAAATAAAAGTACAATTGTGTTTATTTATTTTTTTTTTTAAAATAAAGCTGGGAATATGTAAAAAAACAAAGATGTTACTTTTTTTTTTTCTAAATTGGGAAAAACTTTAAAAATTTAACAATATTAAAAGAAAGAACTTTTTTGTTTACATACCCTCTATTTTATTTAAAAAGTAAAACAAAAAACCACATTGTACTTTTAATTCATAATTTATCAATTTTTTAATATTTATTTCAATTCTAACACATGAGGAGTCATAAATTAAAGGCTATGTTAACAGAAACACGGTTCGTTTTTCTTTTAACAATGTAAAAAAATGCAATATCTTTTTAAATTATTTTGTTTGACGTTGTTAAAGTTATTATTAGCAAAGTAGTAATTAAAAGTCTGATAAAATTAATTTCACTTTTAAAAACTGAACTAAATGTTATCATGCTTTTAATTCTTAGTCTATTTTGCTTAATAAAACATTAACAATGAAAAAATGCAATGTTTTATTTTTTTGTTTAGATAAACAAAAAAATAAAACATTGCATTATTTTTCTACCATGAAAACTTGTAAATTGAAAAATTTAAAAAAAAAAGACCATTTTTGGACTTTAAATAAAGTTTCTGCCCTTAAAAAATATTAATTTTCAATTTTCTTTTAAATTTCCGTTTGATATTTTTGGAAAAAATTGGAATGCATGTGATATCCTAAAAGCATTGGAATTATTTCAATTTGTCTATTTTTATTTTATAATTTATGAAAAGTAACAATTTTATATCTGTATTAAAGCTAGGCCTATGATAAGATAAAAAAAAAACAATTACTTCAATTATTTAATTTATTTTTTACTAACAGTTCACAGACATGAAAAATCAAAATCAAAGAACTGATGCCAAAGTCTGGACTTCTCACATAGGTGTGAAAAAACTGGATTCACTAAATTCACTTAATCCAACCCCACATCAAGTTCTTTAAAAATGTTCAAATTGTTTTCACACCTTTTGCTCACATCTTGTAAGTGGGGTTTATCCCCACCTGCTGACAGCAAGTTTTGGAGACAATTTTTTTTTATTGTAGGCTGGCTGGCTTTGAGCCAGCCATATCAAAGACAAATTGGCTTCATTTGAACCCTGTCTTCTTCCTTATCACTGCTTTTTTTGCAAAAATTATTGAAATTATGCTATTGTGTTTTTCTTTTCTGAAAACTCACTGGTCATACCAAAAGTGCTGCCCCTGTCACTCTTCTTTACATATTAGGATATTTATTGTATGATGATTTCAAAAACATGATCAGTCCACTTTAAACCAAGAAGGGAAAATCAGATTTAAAATATTATTTTGAAATATATTTACATGTACAAATAGGTTTAATAACTGTATCCAATTGAATATAGAATCAGTTTCATACAAGAGAGCATATTATAAGAATAATATGCTCTTTATTGATTTATCTCTACCTTTGTGGATCTAGAAAGTGTAGGATTTTGCAACTGTAAAAAAAACTAAGTGGAAGGAAATTTTTTTTTAAATTTTAAACAGATTCACTTAGCTAGAAAAATGATGTTCTCAGTGTTTGTGTTTATGTTGCTGACAACCATTTACTCTTTTTCTGATGGTAGGTCTAATAGGTTTGATAAGGTCAGATTAGCAACTAATCTCAAGAGACATTCCATCTGTTATTAACTGGGGCAAGAAATAGCTTGTTAATTTTAACAACTCCAAAAATGAAACTGCTCTCATAAAGAACCTTTTTAATCTTCAGTCAACATGGCTGATGCTAACCTCCAGGAGGGTAATTCATTACACATTCTTTGGCTAATGTTTTCCACTTATAAGATGTCAAACAATTAAATTAGTTGCTTGATCTTCTGCTAGGAAAGTTGGGTCAATCATGCATTACATATAGAGAGTTTTGACAAAATCCAAAGAATCTGCAATGTTATTGGTCCTGTACTGGCATTTTGGCTTCAATCACTTTCGTACCACCATAATGTAGCTTCCCTGTACATTTTCTTTAAATATTTTTATGGCAATTGTTCTGATGAGCTTTGCTATCTTAGAAATAATAGACTGCAACCTAGGTTTCATCATTTCCCAGTTGAAATTGTTAGATGTAACCATAAATTCTAAGCTAACAGTTTTTTTATTTGATTTGTGGAACTCTTTTCTGGCTTCTTGCTTTCCAGTCAATTTGATCTTCAAAAATATGTCTATACTATACTATGTCTATTCTAAACTATTTTCGTATAATTTTTACTTTGCCTGATGTGTTTTTGTTTTGCTTTTTATCTTAATAGTTAATTGAAATGTGTTTATGTGGTTTGATATAACAAAACAAATATTTTAATTTCAAACTGAAATAATGGTCTACTCTTGCAGAAGTTAGTCTAATCATTGCATTTCATTACTGGAGGTACTATTTATCATAAATTTTGAAATGTTTCATCAAGGCATTGTGGCATCTTGTAGGCAGGATTTCTGAATACATGCAAAATGGGAGTTCAAAATATGCTCTGATATCTGCAACTGCTGTAGACATTTTAGATTGTTGAAACAACATTTTATCACAGGAAGGGTAAAGAACCATTTACAAAATCTTTAAAAAGCATATTAATTTTTGTTTAAGAAAATATTTCTCTTTTAAATATCTCTCCATTTAAAATAATGATGCTAAATATTACAGTATAATTTTCAATTCAGTTCATCATATTTCCACCCTATCATGTGTACTCTCTTCTCCACAAAGATTTTGCCTAAAAAACCAACATACTGCATTATAACCTGAAGGTCATCATTTATGACCAAGGTGACCAGTACATATACAACTTTTTTTATAAGAATAGCTCATAGATAACCCTAGAATGAAAAACGTGCTTAATTTTAATCACACTACTGCCTTGGAAATTCTTAAACAATTATTTAGAAACAATTCCCCATTGCTGTACACCTGACAGATCATTTCAGAATTTTATTTATTACACTTATACAATGTTCAGTAATTTTCAACTAATAATATAAATTGTTCAACTTTTTTATAACTTTAGTAAGAATAAATTCTAAGGAATGTATTCTGTAATCTTCCTGTAGGAAAAGATAATTCCTCTCTTTAACATTACTTTGAACAGACAAATGCTTTTTGAAGATCTCTTAGCATTCTGAGAGTACAATTATTAGATTATATCCTGGTTTCTGCACCTTTGAAACTTACCTCTATGGATAGTCTTTGATGTAAAGAGAGAGCACTTTTCAAATTCTCTCATTCATGTTTTGTATATTTGTTATCTACAGAAGATCTTTCATCTTTACTGTATATCTAGTGATACCAGAAGGGGTTGTACGAAAAATCATGTCGACTAATATCCTGGATTATCCCTAATACCAGTGATTTAGGGTACTTGAATTGATCCTCAATTTTGAAATGTTGAATATTGATTTTCATGGGTAAATAATTTAATCACAGAAATTTATTGGAAGTGATGTCTATTCTCACTTTTTTTTCCTCATTATTCCTCTCATTATTCCTGTATATGTTAAGCTCTTTGGTAAGGAGAGAGAGAACAATAAAAAAAGCAGGCATTAAGAAGACAAGATAATAATTGACATTGCATTTAAATTTTTGAAGATCAAACTTGGAAGCAAAATGCCAGAAGAGAGTTTCACAAGCAGGAAGTGTGAGAGAAGAAACTGTTATTGTGGTACAAGAAAAACACTAACATGTTCTGTAATTTCATCAGGCAAAGGAGACATAACACAGCAATTATATAAAAAAAAAAGGAAATAGCTTAATAGCCCATTCTGACCAATTATGACCCAAAATTGAAGAAGACGATGTTGTGGAAGAAGATCTTGACAGAGAAGAAAGTATGAGTTGTTCAGATCAGGACAATGCAATAAAAGATTAGCCTATGGACGATAATGGGAGTGACTCAGACATAGAAGATGATGAAATGGGATGAAAATCTCCATTAAAAAGAACAGGACCTAAACCTCAAGAGGAAGAGGAAGAAAGAGGTTGTCATAGAAGTTAGAGAACAATCAAAGGCATTAAACCTCTTTGGTTCAGGGTGATGTGGATTGGTAAACAGGATTGTACCTACTGATCATGTGTTGTAGATTAACACAATACAATAGTTAGCATAGAACTTATGGCTACATCTAGCAGTTTCAACTGTAAAATGA